CCAGCTTCAATGACTTCATTCTCAATGTAAGACGGAAGAACAGGTGTTCTGACTTCAAAGCATAATATTATACTTATTACAAAGAAAAGAGCTAACAACTGACATTTTAGGTATATAATCTAGTCAGAGCTTTGTTATTAATGATCGACCTATGAAGGCTGAGAATAACTGTGTACATGCTGCGGAACAGTGCAAGAGTCTTGTTGGTCTGCCAACACCTTTTCAACTGTCATAGGAAAAACAAAAAAACTTAATAATTTGTGCAAATGTATACCAGAACACGATTAACGTCCACGTGACATGAAGCAACTTAACTGCTCTATTAAAAGAAATAATGTGAGGCTTAGTTGCAAATGTGTAAGAGATATATACCAGACTATTTTAAGGGTTGCATTGTTTCGCTAATGGTCCTAATGGTTCACGGGAGGAAAAAAATGAGAGTCTGTCCCTACCAAATACCATTTTTGGGTAGGTATTGATAAAAAAAATTAAAAAATAAAATAATAGTTATAATAATGGAAACTTTATTTGTGTTTTTTATTGTAAATCTCGCTATGTATAGTCAAGTTACAAATGCTGCTTGAGATTGGATCATTCAAAAAAAAAAAACAAAAACAAAAACAAAAACAAAACAAAACAAAANACTTCTACGCTAAGTATCGACGAATCGAACCAGAACAAGCAACACAGATACAAGAATCTCAGATGGGCTTCGCACTTACAAGATTCTAACAATGTGTGTTTTTGAATGTACAATTGTAAATCTCCCTATGTATAGTCAAGTTACAAATGCTGCTTGAGATTGGATAATTTATTTAAAAAAAAACAAAAACAAAAACAAAACAAAAACAAAACAAAACAAAAAAAAAAGAAAGAAAAGAAAAGAAATCAAATTGCATTAAGTCTGGGCTATCCCAATTCCTATTTCTATAACAAAAGATGTAATATGTTGCTCTAATGGCTATATTTATCATTTTCTTGATTATATAAGGTTGCTGCTTTTTGTCGGTGCCAATGTCATTCATCATGACTAAGAACATGGAGCATTCATTGGAGAAAACGCCAAGGGAGCTCATGGAGAGCTCTACAAATTTCACACATCTGTAATTTCTACTCATTTCGTTGATCAAGTGCAGAAATTTATTCTCTTTTATGCACTGCATTGTTGTTGTTAATAATGATAACAATAATAATAATAATAACTAATAGCATCTCTCAGTTGAGTGATCATCATAATCATGCTACACTCATGCTGTTTTTCTTATTGCAAGGAGCTAACCAACACAAAAAATTCAAAGTACTAGAAAAGAAATTGAAACTGAAGGGTTAGATGATGTGCAGCACTTGTAAAGGTACAAGCCCTGTTGGACAGCATTATTGATCCTTTAACTCTTTAAGTCCCAATGGTGACCGACATCAATTTTCTCCTGGTGATACCAATACATTGTAAAGAGATTAGGTTATGAGAATTAATAACATGATTACCAAAAAGAAAATGCTTTGATCTTTCATCAAATTCTCTGAACACATTCTTTAAGGAAATATATAGAGATCAGTTGGGAGAATTTGTTTTTGGATATTGGGCCTTAAAGGGTTAAGCCCAGATACGTACATGTACAAGTCATACATATTCTGGTCTCCATAAATTCCTTAAAATTGACTGGGAGCATTTGATAAACGATAAAAGCACATTACATCAGGTGATCATCTGATATAATTCCCATAATCTTTTCTCTTGTCTATTGAATTGACATAACAAATATTAGGTGAAAATTGATGTTATAGGGTGAATAACTATTATACGAAAATTACAAATAATATTTATCAGACCACAACTTTCTTCTAAATTTATAAATAACAAATTAAGTGAAATAACTAAAACTAGAGGTATTGCAACTTTTGTTTTTATTTTGGGATTTTTTAAACCTCGTAACTTGACCTTCAATGACCTAAGAAAGAACTTTAAACTGTTTGATTTAAGTTCATCAAAACACATTTTGAAATAATCATTGTACGGTAAAATAAAGTCACAAGTTATTAATAATTAAGTCATAATGAAATCGGCATGCTAGGTACATTGCAGTCAAGCATTCTCAGGTTTCTTTCATGGTGTACCTACTGTAAGCGAATGCATATTATGTAAATCTCATGGGTAAAAAAAATATTTCTGAAGATTACACATCACGGTTAAATCCAAAGTTCGCTTGAATCTATACGCTTAAAGGGCGAGATTTTAGTCTATATTTTTATACTGCCATTGTGATAAAGGGATAACTAAATTCAGTTTATTTTCATAGCTATTTCTGATCATACGTTACACGTGGAAATCAGTAGGTTCGATCAGAAGTTCATCATAATTAATGCAAAAGTGTACATAGTCTGCAGCATTATATTCGTGGCAAAATAGGAAATAAAATTTCACGTTTTCGAAGTAAGATTACCTTCTTGAGGTATTTTACTTTGTCCTGTGCTGGAGTTGAATCGTGAAGTCTTCCCTGGAAACAAAAGGCATTAATATACTCTCAGCTCAGCTGATCTTTGATCGGTCGATATGCAAAGTTACCCACCGCAAACGAAATGATTCTTGCCTTACCTTTCGAAAAAATATTGCATAGGTGAAAAATGCCAGTAGCACACTGACCAGCAGAAGATATAACAGCCACAAAACAGAAATCATTGTGTTTTAGAGGGCATTCCTGCACATCTTCACCATATGACAGATCACAATACATCTGTGTTTGTTACTCTGGTTCACAGTCCACGGGCTTATCGGTCAGCGGGATAATCAGGGGGTCACGTGTTGTCGTAGATGGGGTGTGGGAAAATAGTCAGGGGATGATCATCTTCGGAAGTTCGCTTACAGGAAGATTTGCCATTTTTTTTTAAACATAACTGAGAAACTTGAGTGGCGGGCGAGAGAGAAACTGTGTCGCTCGTGACGTTTCATGATTGATTCCTCAAATGCTAAGCGTCCTCTCCAGTTGCTCGCGATCACTGGGGGAAATTTGAATTAATTATTAGGGAAAGAGGGGACGAAGGGAGTGATGGGAACAAGAGAGAAAGCGAAAAAGCGCTCGCGCTCTACGCTCGTTCCCCCCATCATCCCTCTCTCGCGCTTCTCGCTTGTCTCGCGTGCTCGCAAGTTTGTCCCCATCACTCATCAGGACCCTTTTCGAAAATTTCCCACCACCGAAGAATCTATTTTTTTCGGGGGGGGGGGGGGGGAGTCCCGTCGAAATTTTTTCATGCAAATTCCCAAGCCAGCAGCGCAACCGCGCAAAAACTGCCTTCAAAACTGAACGCTTTCCAAGCAACTCTTCCGCTAACTGGTCTGATGTTTGGACTTGTTTGGGTGCTCTAAAAAATGACCCTCCGGCCCCTGGACCATGGGTTGGCCATTATTGGCCTCGAACAACTGAGCGCTGGAACACAGAGAACCTTAAATAACACGGACTGAGACCAGGTTTTATGAGCCCGCGAGACTGAGCACCACGCCCAAACCCTTGTTTTCACTAAAACCGCTGGACGCCAACCTGGTCGGGGTCACCGTTATCTAAGGTCTTCCTGGAACACACCAAAGAGTTTAAATCTCATTTCGCGTTTAGCCTGCCTAGCAGGCGCTTGGAAGTAGTGGGCGAAAGACAGAACGGGCGCGCGCGAGGGAGACCCGCGTGTCTCCTTCTCGCGCGCCCTACTTCCAAGCGCCTGCTACGCAGGCTATTTCGCGTTTGAAGTCGTCTCAACTTTTTAAGACGCTCGAAAGGTGACAGGAAACAGTTTCAATTGCTATATATATCCTACAGTAACAAAAAAAAAAAAAGCAAGTAACGTTAGTATCGCCACTTTGTCTTCCGTTTTTACAACTGTCAGCCGAAGGGTCAAATCAGTCCGTATTTTTATTACTATTTTCTTCTCAATTATCTTCTGTATTCAAGCGCTAAAGAGTAACGAAGAGTTACAACCTGTGAAATAACGAGATTGACTGAGAATTTCAGGGAAAGATCAAGATGAAAACGACCCATTTGCGAAAATTCGTTAGCCTGCGTCGCACACAGTCTAAATTCTTAATGGGTTCTCTGTCTAGGCCTCGAGTAACAAGTCCAACTGCAACGCAGGCTAAAATTCGGCTAATAAGAGCAAATTGGTGGCGAGATATAATTAAGAGCGTTATGCTCTGATGACTCCATGAAATCCCGAAGTTTGACCTGTGTTGTAACGCGTAGAATCGAAGCCAATTTTAGAAAGATTTGTATTGGGCATGAGTCATCCGAGCCTCATGTCTCTTATATTTCACCACCAATTTGATTTTTGGTAAGTAGAATTTTTCATTTTGTTATTTCAATTTACCCCACCTAATCTAACCATTTCTTGAATTTCGTTTTTGTGTGATCATCACCATTCTACTCTATTACCTGCAGTGGAGTGCAACTTCCTTTTTTTCTGCGTATTCATCTAAATCTGAGATTCATCACGCTATTGTAAAACCATTTTACTAAGACTGATTTCTACATAATAAACGTTCAATTTTAATATAAAACTTTAATCTTCCTCATTGATATGTTGATAACGTGGTAATTTGACGTATGGATTCCTGAAAAGACAAATTCTTTTAATGATAATAATAATAATAATAATAATAATAATAAAGTATTTTTTCATCAAAAGATAAAAATACATATCTTTTGTTACAAGTGTAAGAAATTTTAAAAAGGTAAAAAGTAACAATTAAAAAATCTAGTATATTACATAGCTAATTCACATTTAAAAACTAAACGATTAATAAAAGAGTTCTTAAAATGCAAAGGGTTAATCTTAGGTTTAAAACAAGTTTCTTTCCTAAGATTGTAACTGGACGGTTTAACACGAGGCATAATAGATAAAAGAGGGCGTCCTTTAGCATTAGAATTTTTTCTGAAAATTTTACGGTCTTGCCTCTCTAAGAAATCATAAACACTTACAGGCTTAGACGTATATTTCCTTTTAAAACACCGGTCTAAGAGACATTGTACAGGTATAAGATCGGACTCGGACGCGGCGTAGACAGATAATGCGTAATTAATATTAGGTAGAACTATTGTTTTAAAGAGAAGGTCTATTTCTGACTGATAGTAGCCCTCTTTGCGCAGCGTTCTAAGGATATATAGGGATTTGTTATCTTCAATAGGTTTGCTCAAATTACATATTAGATAATCGCCTTATCAAAACTGTAATCAAGGCAACTGACAAAACGTTTACGGCTTTCACGAGTGTTGTTTCAAGAAATACTCAGACACTTTGCTTTCTGAGATCTCTTATCTGCACTCAGTCTTCAGTTAGCCGGTAATTTTGTTCTTACTGATGACTATGAGGGACTGTTTACCGCATTTTAAGAAAAGTTTGAGCCTTTCCAGTCTCCCTCTATGATGGCATTTGTTGAAGTCTTTCAACATGTCATCCAGCCGCTCGACAATAAAGACCAGCCTTTCAAATTTCAATGCCAGCCTTTTATTTGGGGCATCTCTTGAGATGCTCAGAACCATTGCCAGGCCCTCTACGGCAAGAACAGCCTGGAATTTAAAACTGAACACCTCACGCAAGACATCCAAAGAGTTGTTCTCGAGCATATGATTTAGCTCTTTTTTGGGCCGTCCACTCTTTCCTGTGTCTCGTCTGACCTCAGCTGGTAGCTTTCTGTAACTATTAAGTCCTCTTTCAAGTTTTCCCAGTTTCTCGTTGATTCTTCGTATCACACTGGTTGACCTAGCCATACGACTTGTTACTGCAAAGTGTTCGTAAGACCTCAAATGCTTTGTATCGACTGGCAACTCCACTTCATTGTGCCCCACCTTTTCTTTGCAGATATGATCCCATGACCACTTTTCAAGGCAAAACCAACAGAACTCCTTACTGCACAGACCACACATCATATGATTACAACCAGGACCTTTTTGTATTGGATAATGACAAAATGGGCAGTTTTTGATCTGCACGCTTGTAATCAGTGGTGAAGTTTGGTTTCTTGCGACCATTTTGGCATATCCTTTGGTGTTCTCTCTAAATGTTTTAGCTTCTTCACAGGTCGCTGGCCAGTGAGCATCTTCCTGGCACTTGAAGCACCACATGCTGCCGCAGACACACACCACTGGGACTGGCTGGGGAGGGCCTACAAGCTCATCACACAGGTCTGTCGTACTCTGAGGTGTTGTTGCCTTGACAACCAAAGTGCATCGGTCTTCAGGGCACCACTTCCATTCAGGGTGAATTTCCAGGGTCTTATCCAACTTTTTAGTCACAAACTTGCCATACCATGTTGGCAAGAGGGACATCAGGGTGGCATCATCGACTGCAACAGTACACTTGTACCCAGGGCAACTTATATCTGTGTGGCCTTGCTGTAACTGAGTCTTTAGGTGCCCTCTCCAGCAGTCATCACAGAACTTGTGGCCACAACTGATCAGGAAGGTATAGGAGAGAGTATCAATAGGATCTGAAATCACAAGACAAGAAGAATCAGAACCACACTTTAAGATTCAGTTTTATACTGGAAGCTCTGCATTCAGTGCTTTTAAAAAACATTCACCTTTTGACACAATACAGCTGTACATGTATATATGTGACCACGCCAGTTCAATCATCACTGGTTTTTTCTGATAAGCACCAAGTTGAACACTCATAACACTCATATTTATTATTAAATATTATTATTATCATCATCGTCATCATCATCATCATCATTATTTGTGCCTCTGCTTCTAGTTCATATTTCACTTGGGCATGACATGCTTGACAGCTAGTACTAATTTTAAAGCCTAATTAATAACCTTGTGTCTGTTACTGTTATACGTTTGGGTTGAGTTGAGTTGATCTTACCGCTTGTGAAACTTTTCATTAAAAATTTGACAGAAGATTCATATACATTATTATTAATTATCATCCTCATCATTATTATTATTTTTAAAAAAATCCTGTCTTGAATCTGTTGCTGAATCCCCTCGTGTCATTGTTTTTATAAGGAAACATGTTCATTATTTTGTTATTGATAGGCCCACAAAAAGCTTGTTAAACTTTCAGTCCTAGTAACCACAAAAGTCATAAATTCTCCAGACAGAACAAGATATATTTCCTTAAAGAATTAGGTAGGAGAATTTGATAAAAGATCAATTACTGATTTCCATTTGATATCCATTTTATTCTTGTAACATGTATGGAAGTGTTAAGAGGAAATGGATGGTTGTCAAGTCTTTGATTGTCCTTAATATGGCCACATTGACAAGGTTTTCATTAAGAAAATGATAAGAGAAACTGTTTCCTGAAAAACTTTCCTCGATGATACATTGTCTTGATTTTAATCATGTCCTCCTTGTTACTGTCAGAAAATTGAACTATTACAGCTATTATTACTTTAGTGGAAAACAGTGTAAAGGTGATACAGTGGAACCTCGATAAAACGAAAGGCCGAGGGATTGGCAAAATATGTTCACTACATTAAAGGAGGTTTCGTTACATCAAGGTTTTTTTCCATATATTTTATCATTACTGGGGTAAAGAAAATCCTCCATTATACTAAGGACTTCGCTACATAGAGGTTCCACTGTATTAGAACTTAAAGGGTTCAAACAAAAATAATTTACAGGGAAAAGCCAAATAATTACCTTCACATTCAAAAGGCATGAAGCATATTCCACACTCTGTCTGATGCTGACTGTCAGCTGTTGCCATAGTGACCAGTTTGTGCGACTTATTTGTCTTTTCAATGCAAGACTTTTTTATCTCTTTCCGTGCAGCCTCCAATGACAAAGCTTCTGATTTCCATCCAAACAGTTCTGTGAATACTCCAAGAGAAAACGTGGATTTCCTACATTCCTTAGGTTCAGTTTCATCAGTAATGCTTTTCAGGAAACAAGTTTTAGCAGCATCCACTATGTCCTTAAGAGACCAGATTTCTGTCTTGCTAGTCTTTGCTTTGATGTGAGAAATGAACTCTTTCTGAACTAGTTCATTGGTATATTCGTCATTGGAAATACCTACAAGGTATATGTTGGCTCCCACTCCTGCTGCAACATTTTCTGAGACATCTTTGGCCAGTCGTAACAAGACAAAAAGTTCTTTGCTACTAGAACTGAGGATCTGAGGTGTCACATTGACAAAAAATGCCCTTGGGAAACAACCAGCTTCCTTGTACATACTTCCCCATGTTTCCTGCAAAAACTCTGGATTGATGTCTTGGGGTTGAAGAACAAGAGACACCCACTGAGAAGAAATTTTAACAGGTTTAACAGGTTTGACTGGCTCAACTGGGGTCACAAGAGGGTCTGTAGAGTCTGCAGACCAGCGTAAGGCTGAAAGTGTCCCATCATCAACTATTCTACCATCTTGATATCCATGGTAACCTCCTCGGCCTCGGCCTTGGCCTCTGCCTCTATCTCTGCCACGTCCCCTTCCACGCCGTCTAATCCTCCGTGGCTCTGGTACTGGCTGAAAGTGATAATGCCAGTCATCCATATGAGTTGGCTGCGTTTCCTCTGCCATGGCCAAAAAACTTTGGTGGGTGTCATGCATACCATCTCCACTGTCTATATATATGGCCTCTCCTTTGCCAAATTTTGTCCTTTTACATTCTTCATCGCTCTTAACTTGCATAGAACCATTTTCCGCCTTCAGTGAGTTTTTGCTTTTCTTTGGAGAATTACAGATAAGTGATTTTAAGTCAAATGTGAGAGAAACACCCATTTTGCTATGTGGTTGGTCATCATTTCGCAAGTCAACCATATCAATGTGGAAAAGTGTCTCTGTGTTACTGAGTTCACTTAAGTCTTCTTCAATGGTCCTGTTGAGAAAAGTATCTTTCTTCCTGCCTCCAAGACGAGTTCTATGTTTCCTGGTACTTGATTCTCTCTCATGTGGCCATGATCCCGCGGGATGCGGGTAAGATACTTCGTATTTTGTTTTCATTGATTTGATATCACTGAGAAGGTCTTCTGCGCGAGCCAACCTACGTTTGGATTTGCGAGTACTGCTGTTACTTGAGTCGAATACAGAAAAACAGTCTGGTCTGCGACGTTTTTCGTTTCCCGCGTTCGAGAACCGCTCAACTAAAACGACTTCGTCTCCGTGGCCGAGGAATTCTCTCTCTTCCAGATCAAACGAGCTTGTCTTAATAATTTCAGGAAGAAGCCAACGATTTTGCTTACCAAGCGAGTAAGTGATGCTTTCTCCTTCGTCCTGCTCCTCTTTGCGGCAAGCGTTCTCCACTGTAGTTTGGATAAGAAGGCCTTCGGATCTTTTTGGATGAGACCTTGTTGAGCGCACTGTTTTTCCACTGTGAACGCCGAATTTTCCAGTTTTCCACACCATCGTTGCGAGTCTTGTTCTCAGCCGTTGTCACTAAACAAATGATAGTTCTGAACAACAAGGAGCTGGCTTTTATGACCCTGAAAAGCCATTATTTCAGCAAAATTCCCTGCAACCATGATAGACGCTGATGCAATTACCAACCCCAAGCCGGCAAAAAAAAAGGTGTTTTGATAGAAGCTCGTCCCTGATTGGCCATAATTTATTTCGTCCAATCAGAAACCTTGAAAGTATCGAGCAAGGATTTATTTTTAGCTTCCATGATTTTTGGACAGACCCAACTCGTTCCGGCTCGTTCCCCGAGTACAGTAGAACCCCGTTGATAAGGTCATCAATGGGCCAAGAAAATTTTGCCGTATTAACGGGTGACCATATTGACGATGGTTTTTATACAAGAAAATGTATGGCCGTTTTGCCAGGAGCCCCCAAAAAGTGGCCGTAATAACGAGGTGACGTATAGCCTGCGATCATGCCCTCTCCCTTTATTTTTTTCCCTCTCGAGCCAAAGAAGCAAAGAAGCAAAAAATAAATAACGCCTGATCTCAGATTAGGTGACGTATTACCGGGGTTACCGGCGACATCTAGCGTTACCTTGGCGTTAATTGTCACGAAAGTACTGTTTGCGTCTGTACTAAAAATAGCGAGTAAATATGGTACCCACTTTTTAATTGGATGAAGAATCACATAGCCAATCACAAATCTCCTTACAAATGTTCGTCGAGTTGCACCATCAGCGGAAACATGGCGGCGAGCGGTTATAAAAATAGAATTTGTTCGTTTTCTAACAATCTCTTTTTTATTACGACAAGTTCTAAACAAAAAAGGTTTTTGGATAAAGGGTGAGAAGTGAAATTTCCAGTTATGGAGTGGAAAAAGGGAAAAGCCATGGTTCACATTGGTCGTACGGTTCGTTCTCGCTTTGCACAAACTCGAGGGAAAAGATCAGAAGGTCTTTTAGTAAGATCAACAATCACCAACCCTTCGCATGTCAGTAACGAAGACGAGGAAGATATTGTTAGCTACTCGCTTGGCAAGCAGAATCGCTGGCTTCTTCCCGAGGTGATTAAGACAAATTCTGCTGAATTCGAAGGTGAAGTTGTGTTGATAGAGCGTTGTAGTGAAAACAACAAAACTCGTCGCCAAGGCACCCTCTCTGTTTTTAACTCCAAAAAGAATGACTCCACAAACGACGCAAGCAAAAAAGCCAAACGAAAACGCACACGGTGTAAACAATCTCCCACGGTGGTCGAGGAAAACTCTTTGAAGACACAGTTTGAGGTGACCTACCCGAATCCCTCGGGATGGATGTCAAAGAGTAACAAACGACCCGCGGTCCATCAAGGAAAGAGGAAGAAAAATACATGCAAAAACTGGATGTCTGAGGATGATTTTGATGGCAATAGTGACACTGAATGCTGTTACAGCGAAGATGAAAATTGTTTCAGTGAGGAAATTTTTGACAGGACATCAAGCCGTCTGTTTGACTTTGACTTACTTGTAGATTTGTCAACTCGGTCAGTTCAATCAAATGCAAGGAAGAATGCAACAAGTAGAACACTGCACAGAGAAAAGGAGTCAAAATTGGCAGAGAGATGCATTTTTGTTGATAGTGATGATGAGATGCACAAAGAACATCTTGAAATCTTATCGCAAATGAATGCTGGATGCTCACTTTTTGATGTCAGAATTCAGATGAAAAATGCTGATGTAACGAAAGGTCAAGTCCAAAAAAGACGCCAACGTAACCAGGGAACAAGAAGGCAAAAAGAAAACAATAATTCACCAGTCAGTGAAGAGGCAGTTGCACCAGTTAATACCATAGCTCCTCATGAAGTTGAAGGTGTCTTCATTATGCTGAGGAAACAGGACATTGTGCCAATAGCCTTGAAGCAGCATTGGGGGCAGATGTACAAAGAAGGAGCTTGCCATCCCAGAGCGTTTGTTCTGAATGTGACACCACTATTGTCCATCCATAACAGTAAAGATGTTTTTATTGTCTTCAGAGTCTTTGAAGAGCAATGTCTTACACTTCATTCCAGTGAAGCTAAAGCCGTTGTTACCATAGTTGTTTGTAATGATGATGCTTGTTCCACCAGAATTCCAAAGGAGTTTGCTACCAATATTGAAGCTAAAAGTGCAGATCAAAAATTCTGGACCCTGGAGGACATTGTCAGTGTTGCATCAATTTGTTTCTGCTCAGATGCAATAAGTTGCTCCAAAGAAGGAATGCACATCAGGGAGCCAGGACAACCCAGGATGTCTTTAGATGTGTTTTCCGACCTGTTTGGGTGGAAGTCTAAGACCTTCTCAGCACAGGGTGCAAAGCAAGAGATCAAAGAATCAATCCCCATGGCTAAAGACTTAAACACAGCATCTTCATTGGTGGCTTCAGGTGGTCAAGAGCAGTGGCTAGAATGTGAGATATGTTTCAAGGAAACACAGGATTTGGGAATCGGTGAGGGAAAAATAATTTATTGAGTATATGTCAGAGTGACACAGTATGTATTGCAACAATGTTATAAGCGCAATTAATTGTGCAGATGCATTGTGTATTGTTACAGGTCAAAATTAAATTCAGGTTAAGAGTTTTTAACCTACAGTGTAGGTTGATTCTCAATTTCCTTTGTCTCCTAGCCCTAATTCATTAATATTTAGGGCTTAGGATAGGAGGCAAAGGAAATAGAGAACCAACCTACACTAGGTTTAAAAATCTTAACCTGAACTTAATTTTGACCTATGACATATATGCCTGACAAAATGTTGTAGATCATTTTGTTATGGCAAATTAGGCAAGAATACACATGTATAATTTATACCATTCATGCACATATCAGCAATTTGCATCTGTGGACAGTGTGTTGCTTGTGCTTATGCTTGCGCTGGCTTGGTAATTTTTACTTGAAGGTCCCTCTCTCGCTGTCCTGGCAGGGTGTGGGGGGATGCAATCTATTCTATTGTGAGCCAAGAAGCTGATGCGTTTATTCTCAGGTTAAAAAATTGTGAAAGTTACTTGTACACGTAGTAATTCACTTCTATCATCACAATCTGTCAGTAACAGCTGAGTGTTCAGTTGTGATGAGAATGAGTTTAGATCTGACGGGAAAGAGTCCCCTTAACTAATCAGGGACACCTAAAATTTAATTGTCTTAAAGCTCTAATAATGAATCTTGAGTTAATTGAATCTTCATCTAAAATTTATGGTGGATAATAGACCTTTTGAGTTTGTATGTTTTGTTTTCCCAATTCAGACTACGTGATGTTCTCAAGAAGGGAATCTGCTGTTTGTCTTTTCATATATATTAGTCATGCATCTGGATGCATGGCACAAAATTTGAAAGAAAGAATTCTCTAGGGTAACATCATGTGGTCTGCAATGGGAAAAGAAAACTTATGAGCTAAAAAGGTCTATTATTTACACTGCTGTCATTGTTAATTTTTACTTTATATAATGACACTGAATGAGTTCTATGTGGAACGTAACTTACAATGTAGCATTAACAAGATCTATTGCTCATTAAAATTTGTAGGATTTGATGTGAATAACTCATTCACATCGTTAAGAGGTTGTGGTCACAAGTTCTGTGATGACTGTTGGAGAGCTCACTTGAAGACCCAGATTCAGCTTGGTCGCACAGATCTGAGGTGCCCTGGGCATGACTGTACTGTTGCAGTGGACGATGTCACCCTGATGTCACTTGTGCCGTCATGGTATGGCAGGCATCTAACAAAGAGGCTGGATACATTTCTGGAGATTGACCCTAAATGGAAGTGGTGTCCTGCTGACCAATGCAATTTAGTTGTCAAGGCAACAATTCCACAGAGTCCCTCATCAGTGTCTGATGAGCGTGAAAATGGTCCCCAGCCAGTGCCGGTGGCTTGTGTGTGTGGTAGCATGTGGTGCTTCATGTGTCAGGAAGATGCCCACTGGCCAGCGACCTGTGAGGAGGCTAGAGTGTTCAGAGAGAAGAATGCGTCTTATGCTCGTTTAACAACTTCTAAGGAGAGAAAGCTGGTCACAAACGTTCAAGTGAAGCATTGCCCCTTTTGCCACTACCCTATAGAGAAGGGAACCGGATGCAATCACATGAGATGCGTTATGTGCTTTAAAGAGTTCTGCTGGGCATGTCTGGAGAAGTGGTCTGATTATGGTCATGTTTGCAAAAAGTTAGTGAATCTGCGCACAGTTACTCTGCCATCAAAACTAGTTCATGTGATGAGTTACAAGCTTGTTGCGGTTACAAGCAGAGTTGCTAGGACATCATTTCTGATATGCAGAGTCCATCGGAAGCTGGATAAGATTAGGAAAGAACTGAACGTTTATGCAAAATGTTTCCCTCTGAAGCCAGGTTCAAGTCGCACTGAGAAGAGATTGAACCAGCTGTGTGAAAATAATTCCATCCACGAATTAAAAGAAGTGTTTAATTTCAAATTCCAAGCCCTGTTAGTTCTGGAAGGCACAGCAATGAGGCTGTCATTTGCTAAGGACACTTCTTGCAGCAAGAAGCTGGCCGTGGCGTTTGGTAGACTGTTTTTCATTGTGGAAAGGATGGATGAGATCCTCAAAGATTTCAACAGTTGTCTTAAAGATAAGGACTGCCTCTTCAAGCTTAAACATTTTGTCAAGTGTGGCAAGAGGTGTATTCATTTAATTGGCCATAATACAGCAGCTAATGTTGAAAATTTTAAAGTCTAAGATACGTTTCTCACAGATAATATACATGTCTTTAAGTGTATTCTGTTTATTTACAAAACACAGTAACTAACAGTATATTAAGTATATTAATAATATTGAGATAACTATTTTGATTGTGAGTTTTCTTTTCAAACTTCGTTTAAAATGACAAAAGATCTGTAGTTACTTTAATTTCTGAAGACTGTCTCTTGAAAACTCGCGTTTCAGTTTATTAAGTTTAGTGGGAATGCATCATATTCTTGTCAAATTAGTCATCTTGAATTACAGTGGTAAAGAATGGTAAATTGGAAACTTCGCGAGACACTGGTTTCAAAATTCGAGACCAAGACTTAAAAAATCGAGCCTCCGAGATGCAAAATCAGCCGAAAACGAGCCTTCGAGAATCATGACAAACGTTTCCAGGATTTCAAGATCGGGTCAAAATTAAAACCTGAGACCCACATTTTTCAAGGAACCATTCTATACACCTAATTACGTATTCAGATCAAGTAATGAACCTTTTTTGCTTCTTTTAATAGTAAATATGATAAATTTGTCTCCGTCAGCAACAAAATGAACTTTTTCCGAGCCAATGCTGTTCAGTTTTAAGAAGTGTCAGTGCTGGCTCTGGATAAATGGGAATAGTGCAATAATTATTTTTTATTGATTTATTGATTTATGTAATTTCTTCCACCACAAGAATATCTTTCAATTTGTGTTTCTGTTACGAAAAAAATAGAGCTATTTTTAACCTTAACCCTGGGACTACTGGCTTAAAGCTGAAGGAGAAACTCAGTGAGTTTAAATAGTTTTAGTCTAGGTTGCTGTTTTGAAAGCGTTTTTTTAAGGTGCTATTTTTTCTAGTTGCTAAATTTCATGAAGATTGTCAACCCCTGTAAGATTTGATTTTGATGGTGGTACCGTGGTAGTTTTTATCCTGAGGAGGTACAATGTGCATAGAACGTAGCTAGTGCTTTAAGTTTTCTTTTGTTTATTTTAATTTTTGGTTTGAATACCGTCAGCTCAAGACTTGTAAAGGAGTGAAATGTGTTTAAAAATTATAAATACATTTTATAATGTGATGTATCAATAAAACAGTTCTCTAGGCATTCTTATGATGAAGTGAGTGTTACTATTACTTGCGGCAGATTCCTTTCTTAAGAGAATCAAGCTTTGACAAAAATAAATATAATATTTTGACAGACTTGCCCAAGAGGCCCTTTTATGATCCGTTGACATGCCATATGACGAGTAGACTGGAAAACAGCCCGTATGTTATGGTGTGCGTGAGTGAAAAACACACGCATGAGCGGTCAATTGTAAGGTCTGGACTGAGGGTGAGGCTGGTGGGAGACGCAAGTTTTTTTTATCTCACGCGGGCTTAGCTTTTTCGCGCCTTGCAAAACCGATGTTGAAAAAAAAAGGAAAGAGAAAGAACAAGGAAAAAAACAATATATTTCTAGTCATTTCATGCCATAGAAATAGGGATAGGCTCTGGCCTGATGGGCCACTTGACTCGTATGTAGACTTAACCTGCTTAGTTGCAGCCTCCTGGTGGCACCATGGGGCTTTTGCGAAGGATAGAGAACTTAGGCGTCAACCTCGTGCGCAGGGTGTTTACCATAGAAAATGGGAGGGGAAAAGCCCTGGGTAGGCGTTGCTGGTTCCCGCGTAATAAGCCTTTTGCAATAGTTGGTCACGTGATCAACTTTGATTTAACACGAAACTGGTTCGCTTTTGGAAAATTTTGTTAGCAGGAACTGAAAGAGCATATTAAAATTAAAATCAATATTAAAATTACACTTTCAGCTGCATATCTAAAAAGTAGCGATTGCAACGGCCGCCAAAAATTAGAAGGATTTGTATCAGTATACTCCATCAGTTCCTGCTAGCAAAATTTTTCAGACGCCAACTGTTTTCGTGTTTACAGAAAGTTGATCACGTGATCAGTTACTGCAAAATGCCTTTTCAGGTAAATAGACGGAAAACATGAGAAGCAAAGTTTGATTTTAACGAGTCTGGAGTGCGCTTCAGTATTTTAGAGTGACCGAACGGAACTGATAGGTAAATAAAGGTCTCTTGATTTCGCTTGCTTTTTTTCCCCGATCCGCTCAGGTAGGAGGGGAAGACGTCTCCAAGGAAATCCCTGGTTTGACGTCCCAACGTGCTGGCAAGCGGAGTGCAGTGGGTCAAGAAACGTAATCGGAAAACCGATAGTGTCGTCCCCAATGAACAACAGCAAAATCCTAACCACGCCCTTCGCTAAGTGTAAAGTGAGGTACTGGAACCAAGTTTAACCCGTCGCTTCCTTCCTCTGAATTGTTCTTCCTCTCTTGTATGCTTTCTGTACCGTTTGTCAGTGGTCTCGACGCCACGCTCAAGAATCTTCAAAGTATACTCAGGCTTGTATTCCTGATTACAGGTTTGTGTCCACATATTTAGGTTATCTTTCGAGGAGCAATTTCTTTTAGCAAAAGTCGTATCCAATCTCATTTTGTTCAACAGACATGTCCACCGTTTCTCGATCAACATCTTCATTTTCACTGTTCTTAAACGGGTATTACCGGTATTTGTCACCTACATTATCAATATTTGCAACAAATCTGGCACCAAATTGAAAATACGCAGTCTTGTATTCAGATTACGTTAGTTATGATTACCTCGTCTGTGTTTTGTACGCGAAGTATTAGAGGAGATGTATGTCTAAACTAAGCTTTTATGTTCCGATGAACAGCACGTGTTAAGTGCTTCTTTGGGCACAAGGCTTGTTAGAGAATTGTCATTAGCTTTTATTGCTGTTCCCTGGATACTATGATGGATTTCGTAGCCGGGTTCAAGATCACGCCAGCCAATTAATAAGTTTATTTCTTTTGTTCTCTGTTCAACTTACCTACTAGTTGCGTGACATGTACATTCTAACGTTCGCCCTTCATACGATTGTGCTGGATCCAATTGCATAAAAGGCGGTGATTGGATTCCGAGGTCATAGCTTTATCATTGCGTTGTCCTTGCGTCGATTCAGGAATTTCATAATTTTTCATAATTTATGCGTTGTATTCTTCTTGGCATGGTACTCGATTCGGCACTTTTCAGGTGTAAGGGGTCTGTTTTTCCATCCCTTGATCTCTTGGTCTGTTAGCTCCGTAGAAACAAGAATATTGAGGAAGTTAAAATCCGAGCATTCAAAGCAAAAATTCGTTCGTCGAAAACCAAATAATTTTTGTATTAAAGTGTAAAGAAGTAAGTTTTTCCCTTTATTTCATTTGGTCATCATCATCATCATCATCATCATCATCATCATCATCATCATCATCATCATCATCACAATTATCATCAATCATTGTAATATCATTATCACCACAATCAACAACCTCGTCCCCAGGGCTTTTCCCTCAAACACCCATTTTTTTAAGGGAAAAGCCCTGGGGACGAGGTTGTACAATCAATGCATCTAGTGAATCAAAACCCCAGCCCATCGACACCTGGGACATACCAAGGAATCATTAATTGACCCGGTGTTAAAACACCTTTAATTTATCCGCCCCTGCTGTAAAGTAATACCATAAACTGGTACTTATAAGCCTTAGGCTTATTCATCTTGGTAAGGGGTTTTAGAAGGGTTTAGCCGCATTACATTCCTTTCAGTTTCACGGGGTTCAGATGGGGTGCGGGGAGGGTAGGATTTCAATTGACTGATGCATTACTCCCTCTTAGACAGATCATACTCTTGATCGGGTCCAACACAATGTCCATTCTAAAGAGAAGGCCTATAAGAAATTTGACTATATTCAAATAAGCCACACATACTAGGACTTCACCACACAGTATCAGGGGATATGTACAGCAAGGACTTTAGAAAAGAACATTTTAGCGCAACTCTCGCGCAAAGCGCGCGCAGCGGGGCACCATGGGTAAGAAAATGTGGTAATCTACCCATCAGAGAAAATTTGGTAATCACGTGACCGTACGCCCGACCGTCCGTCCGCACCACAGGAATACCAATGTTAAATAACTCAATCAACAGGTAACAACCCAAAATGCAACTCGAGGTTATTTTGGCGGGAAATCGAATAGCCACCCGCGTCTTGTAAAGCAGAGGCAGCTAAAGAGTCAATAAAGACGAAACCCGAAAGCAGACATTGTTTCTTTATCCGTCTTTTCTAAATTATTAAGCTTAGATTAATTGTCAGTTAAATTTGGAATATAGAGCAAGAGAAAGACAGAGAAAAAGAGAAAACTCAACTCAGCGAAAACTCAGCGAAACTGAACGAGAAAAAGGGCGACAGAGATCTAGAGCGAGAGATAGAAAACAAAGGAGACACATTTTTTTGTTGGAAGAACAACACGAAAATTTTATAGCGGCGGTGACAAAATGGGAAATGCTAGCGGCCACCAATGCAAGGAGAAAATGAGCGGCAGTGAAAAAAAGTGAACGAGAACACGTACGCCATTTCCTCCATAAAAACGTTTCTGGAAGTTTCACGTTCCAGTCGTGCAAAACAACGGCAAAGAAATGTACAAAAAAAGTGTGCTGCACGTGCAAAGTCACTTTTTTGCTAATTAGACTTATTGTTGTTTTTCACCATTCTCCGGCGTTGTCTTCTCTGCTTAGCATTACACGATTTTATATTTTGCTTGAACAAACTATAAATATTATCGAGAGCTTCGCTTTTAGCCCTGGCTAAATCTATATATTATCGTATTGTATACACTATAGGTTTCAAAGGTTTCTTCATTTTAACAGGATCTGAAAGGAATTGTTGATGGCTTATGCAGCACCAGGGGTAGCTTCAACTAAGGAGACGACTAATTATGCTCGCCTCTGTCGTCTCCTGGTCGATATTGGAACCCAGGCCCTCAGGAACACGTTTGACACCATTCACCCTCCAGCAAATCTTTACACTGTTTTATCGGCCAATAAAACCACATTGCAGTCTCTCAAAAACAAGAAAGTTATCAATCCAATACAATGGGGCAAACTCTTTCCTGTCATCTCGGCTGCTGTTTCTTCTAGGGACTTCGACACTACACTTTTGATGGTTTTGCTAAGGAATATATGTGGTCTTAGTCCACCGCTCGCTGGCTGGGACTCTTTACCTGATGCATTAGACCTGAGTCTTGAAGCTGATCTTGCTCGTATCAAGTATTACAGGAACACCATATACGGGCATGCTGAACAGGCATCTGTTGATGACGTCACATTCAATGACTTCTGGTGTGACATACGTGACACGCTGGTGAGATTGGGAGGCGTGACTTATGCAGCTGCTGTGGATAGTCTGAAGGATGAATGTATGGATCCGCAAGTTGAAGATCATTATAAGGAGCTGCTGAGGCAGTGGAAAAAGGACGAGGACAGTGTTAAAGAACAACTCGACCAGATCAAAGAGAAGCTGGAGATGCTGGAGTTTTTAGCAATATCAAAAGAAGATATTGGTAAGTAATTGCCCTCTCATCAGTAAAAAATGAACAGAGGAAGGTATTTTTGAAGTTAAGGTACGTAGGACTGATGGCCACTTTGGCTGCATTTTTGCTGAAATCCCGGCTATTAAAAGGAATTTCAAAACCGATGATTTGAGCATAAAAGCTCAATCTTAAAATTTGTGTTTTTAAAATGAAGTGGATTCAAGGACCATTCTGCGATAACATTACAATAAAAGAACAGCAAAGCAATAGAGTCAACCCTCTCTCCATCATTGGTACTTGTACTTAGAGTCTCTCTCAAGACGCTCTGTCATTGACAGCTAGTCAAAAAATTCCCTAAAGAAACTGCAGGGACCAACTCCGTGTGTTCTTTTAAGGTGATTGTCTTAAAGTTTCTCTTAACTTTGAAAAAGTATCAGTAACTGCGTTAATTACAGTTAGTTCAGTCTATGGCGCATTTTTAAGTAGTTAGTGTCTTCAGCCTTTGGTCGTAGAAGCCTTCTTCCCCTGTTTAAAGGTTTGGGCCTAGATTGATCTCTACTTCATTTTTGACATCATATCCTTTACTATAGCAACCATGTGGTACAGATTTGGCTAAAATTTGCCTAAGAAATAAATGAACAGCTGCTGAAGGAGAGAACTTTTTGCTGACGATTTCAATAATTTAAAGGAAACGATAACTTGTGGTCGTGACTGTTCCCCCACACTCCTGAAAAAATTTGGGCAAATGCTTGGGCGATTTAGCTACCCAGCCAATGGCTTTGAAACCAAGTTGTAAGAGCTCGGAATTGGAACTTCATATTGGTCGCTTACATTTATGCTAGAATGAGTTGGAGATAGTTATCAAGTACACTAATCATAATTTATGTGCTTGTGTTAAGATGGTTCTTTCACCTCCTCCAAAGTGACTGACATTCGTGCCATATGCAAAGAACCCTTTCACGAGAATGAGCTACTCCATTATTACTGCAAAGAATGCAGCGTTTGCATCTGTCACAAATGTGGACAGACTCGTCATAATCAACACAGGAAAGTGGACATACAAGAAGCAGCTAACGAGAGGAAAGATCAGAGGAGGAAGGTCGTGGATCGAGCCAAGAGTGAAGTTTTCTATCTTGAAGAAACGGTCGAAGAGCAAAGAAGGTTGATGAAAGCAAATGAAAAAGAACTCGTTGCCACAAAGAATAAGGTGACGGAACAAGTGCAAGAAGTTATTAGACAGTTAAAAGAACATGAAGATGAGATAAAGACGCAAATAACAGAACTTACTAAGATGCAACAGAAACAACACTTAACGCGTCTGGAATACTTACAGTCACGCATAAATCAACTGAATGTTTCTATTGAATATGACGAAGGGGTCTTGGCGAAAAGTGACTGCTTTGAAATACTACAGGCTGAAAAAGATGCCTTCAGTCTCCATGAAGAAAATCTGAATCTTCAGGGAATTGAAAGTTACAGACTAGAGCATTCTTATTACGTTTGTAAACAAGAAAGTTTGAATGTGTTAAGACATTTGGAGCTGGGCAAAATAGTCGCAAGTCATACTGATCCTTCAAAGTCATGGGCCGACGGAAAAGGTCTCAAGGAAGCAAAACAAGGTTCTGAATCTGTCTTTACAATTTTCACTTGTGATTCACAAGGAAGTCAGTGTTATAGCGAAGAAGACGAAGTTTCTGTGAAAATCTCTGTTTCAGAGGAGAAAGACGAGAACAGCAGGGTATTTCGACTTTCTCGTGGTGAAGGTATTGATGATTGCAAAGATGGAAGTTACAGAGTTTGCTACAAACTAGGAACGGATGCTTTATGCCAAGTTACGATCGAGGTGAATGGATGTCCTCTCAATAATAGTCCCTGGAAGGTTGTAGTGATCCCACATCGTCTAGAATTCACACGTTTAATTCAATCTGGACAGGATTCATTCGGAATGCCTTGGAGTATTGCTTTCAACAAGAGTAGAGGTGATATCGCTGTAGCTAGTTATAGTGACTGTCGCATTCTTCTGTTTGACAAGCAATGGACGCACAGCCAAAAGATGGGAGGAGTGAGCATTGGTCATCCTTTGTCACTTGCTTTCTTAAGGAATGATGACCTCGTATTTACTCACGAATGGAGTGCCCATGAAGAGCAAATGTCCGTGTATGCTGTAAATGGTGGGCATCTCATTAGAGGCTTTAGTAAGCACCTTGTAAGGCCACTCAGCGTGTTTGTGAAAACTGAGGGTGACGGTCAGATCATCGTATGTGATTTAGGTGACAACACAATCAAAGTCCTCTCCCCTGACGGAACAATCTTACTGCAGTCCTTTAGTCCACCCAAATGTAACGACTCTCCCGAATTTGTTTTTCACAAAAATGGGACGTTTTTTGCTTCATATATTAGACAGCATTGCGTAAAAGTCTTTAACAATGAAGGAGTGTTTCTGTATGACATAGGCAGTTATGGGTGTGGCGAAGGCCAGTTAAATAGCCCCGCTGGACTGGCCGTTGATGCTTATAACCAGTTGATTGTCTGTGACAGTGGCAATGGAAGGGTTCAAGTGTTTTCGTTGACTGGGAAATTTCTGTACACGATGCAGGCTAGTGTACCTGGAATTGCATGTGCTCTTCAAAAGCCCTGGTTTGTTGCTGTTTCAAGTGATAACGAAATACTGATTTCTGATGTATCTGGGCCTTGGGGTATTTTTTATTTTCGTTGATCATGCACTGCCACTAAATACCATGAATAAGACAATTAAAGAAGATTTAGAGAATAGTTATGACAACCGGAAACGAAGTATCATTTATTTTTGGAAAGGAAAATCAAGACAAGGCCAAAGGTGGAAACTAGCACATGCTAACTAAGCTGTAACACTTATCGAGTCATTTTAGTCATTAATACCTAATGTTCTGGCCCCAGTTGTTGAAAAGGTGGATAGCGATATTTACCGGATAAATCACTGTACAGTGGATAAGTACTAAGGAAATAAATAGCGTTCTCTAGTGGATACTTTAAAAAGTGGATTATTCCATTTGAATAACTGGGGCCTGGTCCGCAAAGGCAAAGGTTGACAGCAATCTAAACAGTAGCCTCCCACGCAGACGTTCTTAGCGGTTCGTCACGCGTTCTTGCCCCACAAACGTCTGCTGAATCGAGCGGTAATAAACGTAGACCAATCACAGTACACTTCCAGATCTGGGAAGTGCACTTTGGACTATGAAAAATTTCGCGCAAGACTCAGCTCCAGAAAAGATCAGAAAGGTCTTGAAAGGTGAAGACCTTGTACTAACCTTAACAACAAACTTCTCAGTTAACACAAACGCCTTCGTACTAGAGACTGCCTTGACGATGTCATGGAAAAAAAATACCTCGGAGGTTTAATTTGCTGAACGGAAATCGGCTTTACTACAAAACAGTCAGTTGTTCAGTTATAACGTACAATCCCGCCGTTGCTTTATCCACAGAACAACTTTATGAGCAAATGATATCTAATCCAGCCTTTACAATTGAAATAGTCCATCACCTAGGACCCGAAAAATTGGGTCTAATACTCATCTCAGGAGAATAAGCGAAACCTGTCCAACATGCAAGTTTATCTATTAAGCTTTCAAAAAATGTCTTGCCGGACATTCAGAGTGGTAGCTTTCCTGTAGAAATTCGACTTTGAAGAGAAGTCGCTGGAAGCTACCGAATGACGCCATTTTACCAAATCCGGCTCTCGATAGGAAGGCCGACTCTTAATAACATGAACCAAAACACATGCAAAGTTGTTTCAAAGTTGTCTTATCCTTAGTAAATCGTAAATGTGTGTCATACTATCTTCTGATACATTCGAAATTTTTTCTTTGATTTTTATCGAAAAGATTTCAGGTATCAATCCCGTCTCAACTTCGGCTGTCAGTCTAAGCGTCATTGTCAAGTTCAAATTCTGCGTTTAGTCGAAACTTTGCAGTGATGAAATGTGAATCCGAAAATAGAGCTCATATAATGATGAAGAATTTAACTAGAAACACGTATGTTTTTGCATTGCGCTAAATTTCTAGTGTAAAGCAACAACAAGCCGTCGTGTATTAATTTGATTTCGCTTCACGTATACGTACTGCATTCAACAAAACTGAAGTCACGCAACGATCACATTGCCTGTGTAAGATTCGCCATTATGAAGCAGGTTTTCAAAGTTTTTAAATTCTTCTTTCAAAATTAACTAGAAAAGATGTCACTGAAGAGCATCATAAGACAAGCTGCAAAAATAGAAATATTGCAGAATGCGTTAAACTCACGCCACTACTTATAGACCTTACACTGTAGAATATTAAGTTGAGTGTTAAATGAAAATATATCCAGATATGCTATGGATCCGAGTGAAGAAAATATTAAACGCCCGGCATTAAAGTAAATCATTAATTGTAGATATATTTTTTAATGCAGCAACAGTAATCGTGAACGCTTTACATCATTTGCCAAAGATTATATCCTAATACAAAGTACAACTTACATGTAAAAAATCTGATTGCACTATAGTAACTACGGTAATGTAAACATCTAATTTGATGTTAATGCACGGAAATAAGGTAGATATATTAATAATGTTGGTACAATACATTTTCGCAGATACGACGAGTCATGATAAAGAAACTTATGCAGATGTTGCTCTTGCCAATACTTGCTTGGTAACCAAACTTGTACTTACAGCTAAATAGGGTGCGTTCTTTTGAGATGATTCGGATCAGCATTAGTGATCTCAGATCACTAGGATCATGTTAGACCATTCGAACCGATTAATCCACTCTCAACAAGGATTTATCGGTCCACTTGATCTACCATGGTCCGAGTGATCTGGGATCACCAATCATGATCTGGATCATCCCATAGAAAGTGCAGTCCATTTTCTTGTGCATATGCATGGGTTATATTTGTGATCAGTCTTATTCTTCCATAAGAACTGAGCTAGGAAATTTGTGTGATCTGTACCGAGAATGTTGTGTGATCTGTAGCGAGAGCGATGGGCGTCTGATGCAACGTAAAGACGCAGAGTCGTGGGCGAGGTTCTATCGTGTTGGGCTGATCAAGCAACACCGTCAAATTCTAAATCTATCAACAGGAGAACAGAATTTCCCTCAATCACCTGTGTAGTACCAAGCTAGAACACAGAAGAAGTTGCGTAGCGTCGAAGCATTTAGAGCATTTAAAGGGCAACAAAAAGCGCTTCGTTGCACCTGAAAGTGAACACTAACACGAGTTCTATTGCTGCTGAGATTTCTGGCATCAGTGCTAAGGACTTGATAGGCAGTGAAGCAAGATATCCTTCTTTCAATAACGGATTTTGCGCATAGTAGAGATGCAACCACCGAGAGCTGGACCGAAACTTCCGGAAACAATTAAGGGACAGAGAAGGTTTACTGACGCTGTGTATTCTTTCAGTGACACCTTAATATCAAACGGCTTAGGGTCTTAGAATTTATAATTAAAGAAATAAGGAACTGTAAATGTACTGGAAGAGACGAGGCTGAGGCGGAAAATGAGCGTGGATGTAACAAAATTCCAATACAAAAACTTGTTGAGAATGGTATCCAAGGGGCAGGGTAACCCTGGTCCTAGGGTTACCCTGGCAAGAGGGTTCGAGGTACTCTGGTTAAAAGCAAAATTTCCTGGGAAGCCGACACTAGTCAAACGAGTTAACCAGCTTAACTGATGTGTTTCGTGATGTGAAGGCTAAACTAACATTCCTTGTAACGTCCAAGATTTGGACGAAATCTTGAATTCTCCATTTTAAACACGTTACACCGAAAAACGGTCAGGTATTATCATCACATAAAGAAAATACATAATATTGTTCAGATGTTTGAAATCTAGCAAGAAAACTTGGTTAACTCATTCAAATTTTTATGAGTTACTGGAGTGGTCATGAGTTATCCCTTAGCAGAGCGTTTACAAGGCAGGTACATTTAGGGTAACCCTGTTGCTACGGCAACCCTATCTGGATGCTTTGTAAACACGTCGCGTAAAAATAATAAGTAGAAATGTGCGAGCGCTAGTTTAACCCTCTTGCTGTTTGGGTTACCCTCCCTCCTTGTAAACAGGCCCTACAGAATTGGTATTTTTTAATTGTCAGCGAAATAATATCCTTGTATATCCATCCACCTTGTAGATAACTTCGAGTTTAAACGTCAAAAAAAAAAACGCGGCCAACCAAATGTTTTTGAACTGATGAGACAAATCTGTTTTAAATCTAGCGAAACCTCTCAATAAGAAAATAAAAAACTCGTTCCATTGAACTGCCATGGCCATCCGAGGAGAAGAATCTCTGCTACAAGCGGTTGACTCCCGAAATTACTAGGTACATACCTTTGAAGGCCTTTTGCAACATTCCTATGCGGAAAGGGACAAGAGGAGGTCTGACCCAGAAATAAACTTTTGCCCTCAGTTTCCAGAGGTTAGACTAATAAACAAGTGCGGCCATGGGATCAGTTATAACCTGTTTAAGGAGGTCGAGACAGAATTTGGGCTGAAAGTAATCAATGAGCAAACTTTAAATCGCTTTCTTATCCCAGACGAATGTAATCAACCCAACAATCCACCCGTGGCACTCATGGAAGTAGAATGCACATTCAGCGGGGCCGGGTGAATTTGATCCTTTTCCCGAAGCAAGACACAAAGAGGGGTGACGGAAGAGAACCTTGAAAAGAGCGGAAATCACCTGAACACCCCCCGGTTTAAACGGAGGCGTTAGCGTTTTTATTCAACCAAGCGCGGGTAAACGGGGGAGTAACTATGACTCCCTAGTACGATCAACCAGCCTACGAGAGTAGGCCCAATCATGCTACGAGCCTGGGAGTATTTCCTTTAAAGCCCTGGCGTTGAATTGGAGAGGGCCGGCTTCTGGCAGCTAGATCAGCTGCGGCTATACGGGCACTAGGACTGAGCGCCTCGTTCTTAAGTCTTATATGATCCGTGACTCTTGAGTGGGGGATGTGGATAGTCAATAAATTCCGGCGCTCGACCTTCACCATTAGGACCAGATCATGGTACCGAGATACCCGATGTCACCTCTTGGAACGGTCGCTGGCTAAGTGAAAGCTCCATATTAACATCAAAAGAGCGACTATCCTCGATCCTGGAGGGAAAAGTAAGAATGTATAACGAAACGGGACGTTGTAGTTGTCGCTTGAGAATAGCTTGCTCCATCGCGTCAAGGTAGAAAAGCAACATGACTGAAACTCTCTAGGAGTCCATGATGGAATGGCCAAATGCCTCGTCACCTAATTAGTGACCAGGTGTAATAAAAAAGGACATTCCCGAGTACTGTGGGGATAGGCGCATTGGTTCTGGAATTCTTTCATAAGTGCAGCATCCCGAAATGCATTACCATGTTTGGTTCTAGCGGCAGCCAAAATTTTACCGCTGATGTAAAATAATGTTTACTTAGTTATTACCCATATATTATGCAATATTATTTATAAACTATAAATCAATGAATTAACCTTTTTCTAATCATGCGTGCAAGCCAGTTTTTAGTTACAGCACCTAAATGAAAATGATAATTGCTTAGATATTACAATTTGTGTCGCTAAAATATTAACATTTTAAAACACTAAGTTGAGTTCTGAAGACTAAACTCAGGACGGAGTGTATATATTGGCATACAATGTACCTATTGCTTATAGGAGTTAAGGACAAGGGAAAGAATAAAGAATATTTAAAAGATACAGACAAATACGG